TATGCTTTTGAAATCTCAAAACCCAACCTGGTGACACATTTCATTCAATAAAGCTATACCTAATCCTTCTAATCCTTTCAAATAGCACCACTCATACATGAGCCTATGGGGGCCATCCTCATTCAAGTCTCTATATTCCAGAGTCATGGGGTACCTGTTAAGGAAAGCTGCACATCAGGTGTGGAACCAGCCCAAGAGAGAGAAGCATGTTGCAGTCAACAAAGCCGAAAGGAGTTAGAGTTCTGAAGAACACTTTGACATCAGACTTGGAGATGCAGAATTTGGAATTTTCCCTGCTGGTTTTAAGTCTCGCTTTGATCCAGCATTTCCTCACTATGCTCCCTTTCCTCCCCTGTGGAACGGTAATATATATTCTGAGTCATTGTATGTTGGAAGTATGTGATCTATTTTTGGATTTTAATTTTACAATGGGATACAGTTAAGAGACTGCCATGAGACACAGAGGAGACCATGGACTTTTAAACAGGGCTGAGACTGTCATAGACTATGGGGACTTCTGAAGTTGAACTGACTGCATTTTTGCATTATGTATGGCTCCAAGGCTATGGGGGCCAGGGAGTGAGATGTAGTGGTTTGAATGAGAATGACCTCTATAGGCTCATGTGTGTGAATGCTTAGTCACCAGGGAGAGGAACTGTTTTGAATGATTAGAGGGATTAGGAGGTGTGGCCCTGCTGGAGGAAATGTGTTAATGGGGGTGGGTTTTGAGGTTTCCAAAGCCCATGCCAAGCCCAGTGTCTCTCTCTCTACCTGCAGATCAGGGTGTAGCTCTCAACTACTTCTGCCATACCTGCCACAACTGCTGCCATGCTCCTTGTCATGATGCTAATGGACTAAGCCTCTGAAACTGTAAGCAAGTCCCCATTTAAATGCTTTCTTTCATAGGAGTTGCCTTGGTCATGGGGTCTCTTCATGGCAATAGAACAATAACTAAGACTTAAGTCTAAATAAATTTGTCATGTGTTGGAAGGCTTATGCATGTAATTCTAGCACTTAGGAGGGAGGCTGGGGAAGCAGGATGAAAAGTTTGAAGCCAGTGTTGGCTACCTAGTAAAATGGAGTCTCAATAAATCAATAGATAAATAGTTATTTACAAAATGAGTTCCCAGTTTCTTAATTCACTTTCTTTCAGTGGTTGAAATCTAAAAAGAGAATGGCTACATTGCAATTAAGCCTCAGTTTTTGTTACTTTATATCTTCATGTGGGTTTGCCTCCATTTTGCCAAGCTTATATAATAATCTTTGATAATGCCATAATCATCTTTGTTAATTCTCCAATGGGCATTCAAACTTGTAGATCACTAACTGTTTGAATACATGAAATAGAATTATATGCATCACATAATATTTTTGTGGCTGGAATTCTATGGCTCTTGACTTCTGCCTTTTATGTTATATGAATAGATTTTATGGGACTATTTTGTTTCCTTTTATTTTTAAATAATTGAACTTTTTATTGATTGCTCTTAGAATAATAATATGCATCTTAATTTATTCTCTCCAGCTTCAGTCATGCTAACATTGATCTTAGGTGAAACGTGATTTCTGTATAGCTTTCTTCACTACTCTGAGCCCTGTTCTCTTCTTGTCATTTCTATTTGTCTTGATGAGGCTTTCCATTGCTGTGGCAAAACACCATGACCATAAGCAGCTTGGGGAGAGAAGGGTTTATTTCATCTTACAGCTCTCAGGTGACTTCCCATCACTGAAGAAAGTCAGGGCAGAAACTCAAGAAAGGAAGAAGATGAAGGCAGGAACTAAAGCAGAAGCCCTGGAGGAACGAACCATTTACTAACTTCTCCACATCACTCCCTCTTCTTTCTTATACATCTCAGGACCAACTGCCCCGGGGTGGCACCACCCACAGAGTCCTCTAAGCCCTCCCAGCCCTCTGACATCAGTTAATGAAAATGTGCCTTCCAGATGTGTCTACAGGCAGATCTGCTGGGCATTTTCTTGGTTGTGATTCTCTCTTCTCAGATACCTCCAGCTTGTGCCAAGTGGGCCAAAGAAACAACCAGGATGGGTTTTATGTGCTTTTAAATCATAACCCAGTACTATAAAGCTATAATGATTTTGTACAATGTTTCATATTTTCGAGTTAAGAGATGATACGAGGACTATAAATACATATATTTATTATTTATTTAATTTTATAAGTCTTATTATGAAAAATACTTATAAGTAAAATAAATGTTGCACACTAAAATTAATCAAACCCAAAGTCTATAAATCTCAGGGCACTTCAGTACATTTAGAATAACCATTGTAAAACTGTGGAGCTTGAAGTTTTGTTTGGTTTTGGTTTTGTTTTGTTTTTCATTTTTGGTTACTCGGGTGAAGGATCTGTTAATTTTCTGTATTTTTTCAAAGAACGAACTCTTAAATCTATTGATTCTTTGTATTCTTTCATTGTTTCTATTTTGTTGATTTCTGTTCTGAGTTCTACTATTTTTTACCATGGACTTGGTTTAGACTTAGTTTGTTCTTGTCTTCAGTTTTTGAGTTGCATCATTAAACTGTTGATTTGTGCTGGTGAAGGCATATTGCCCTGGCTGTTACAGACTATATTTTAGGTTGGGTGTAGGTGTCACAGATTAAGAGGACTGTGGTGAAGGCATATTCCCTGGCTCTTACTCACTGTGTTTTAGGCTGTTGTCTAGGCACCGTCGCAGATTAAGATGACTGCAGTGATTCTGGGTGCTGATACCTGCTCTTGTCTTTGTTGGGTGGGTGTTCAATTCCTTGGTGTCTGTTCCCCTTTCTGGATCTTAGAAAAGCATGGTGGCTGTGAGTTCCTTGGTAGATATCACTTCTACAGGTCAGTGTGTGGCCGAGAAGAGTTGGGATAGCTTAGGAGAAGAGACTGAAAGGTTGAGGGGATTCCCACTAAGAGGCAGGGTCCCTAGGAAGCTGGAAGTGTGGTGAGAAGAGGACATCCTGAAAGTAAATTGCAGTGAGGCAAAGAAAAATCTGGAGTGACGGGGATGAACAGGTTGTTAGGACTCTAGGTCTGAGGTAAGAGTTGGGGTCTCCAGTGAGTTGAGGTGGGAGAACCGGTAGCTGCAAGCATGTTGTTACAGGGCTGAGGGTGATCCTTGGGGGTACTAATGGAGGGTGGGAATGAGAGTAAAATCACCTCTGTCTGTCAGGTTCTCTAGTGCCAGAGATAGGTCACACATAGTTTAGTTCTTGGTCAAAGGGCTCCCAGGGAAACCTTAAACAATCAGGCTATTGTAGTTACATGTCTCGTTGACTACAAAGAAGTTGAGCTGATGCCTAACTAGAGCCTTCACCCAAACAAACCAGTGTTCATGGTGCTGTAAGTTATGCTGTGCTACCAGAAGAGAAAGGTAAACAACAACCCAACCACACACCCTGCATTTTATAACCATGACATGCCTACATGTTACAGTGGTGCAGTCGTGGGACAAACATTGTGGGAGTAACCAACCACTCTATGACTGGATTTAAGGCCCAGTCAGTGAGATGGAAACACCGCCTTGCACTGCTTGGCTGGCCGAGAACTGGGGACTAGATAGGCCATGGGCCTAGGAGAAAATCACACACTACTCTTATGCTAAGGGAACATAGCAATAAAATGACTCCCAATGACATAGATCATTGCCTTGTTCAGCCAATACCAGAGAAACCCCAAACTGGACAATGTGCAGAAAGTGAGAGGCTTTGGAACACTCAGTCCTAAGTGGGATGTCTTCACCACCCCTCTTCCCTCAGGGTTCAGGGACCTATGTGGAAGAAGAGGAGGAAAAATTGTAAGATCCAGAGGGGATGGATAACATGAAGGGAGCAGTGTCTCTGAGACACAACAGGACTGACGTATGCGCACACAGAGGCTGTGGTAACATTCACAGGCTACATGCTTTCAAGTCAGGAGAGGAGAGGAGAGGAGAGGAGAGGAGAGGAGAGGAGAGGAGAGAGAGAGAGAGAGAGAGAGAGAAAGGGAGAGAGAGAGAGAAAGGGAGAGAGAGAAAGGGAGAGAGAGAAAGGGAGAGAGAGCATGGGGGGAGAATGAGAGGAGAAGCTTAAATATTCAAAGTTTTCAAAGTTAACATCCAGAAGTGAGAGAAAACGTGCATCATTGTTTTTCTGAGACTGGTTTACCTTACTCAGAATGGTTGTTTCCAGCTCCATTCATTTACCTACAAGTTTTGTAAAAAAAAAATTTTCATTTTTCGAGACAGGGTTTCTTTGTAGCTTTGGAGCCTGTCCTGGAACTAGCTCTTGTGGACCAGGCTGACCTCAAACTCACAGAGATTCACCTACCTCTGACCTGTCTCTTTCCCTTTGGGATTTCCAAGTTCTCGACCTACTCTCCACATGGGACTCTCTAGCCAGCCTGGAAAGATACAAGCTACTTCCTCCTTTCAAGACTTCCCAGAGCTCTGCCAGCTTTATTTGGTAGAAAATATGGCCCCTTGCCTTTTGGAGCCCATTCACTAAGGAGGGATACCTTGCTCAGCCTAGATACAGGGAGGGGGGCCTTGGTCCTGCCTCAACTTGATGTGACAGACCTTGTTGACTCCCCACAGGAGGCCTTACCCTCTCTGTGATATGGGATGGGTTAGGGAGAAGATGAGGGAGAGTGGGAGGAGGGAGGGGAAATTTGGATTGGTATGCAAAATAAAAAAAGATGTTTTTAAAAACTAAAAAAAACAAAGTTAAATTTAAAAAATTGCCCTGATTAAAGTTCCTTATTACATTGTGGTTTTATATTGGTCTACCTAATTTTTAAATATTCCTTTAAGAACCTTAATCACAGGGGCTGGTGAGATGGCTCAGTGAGTAAAGTACTTGCCACCAAGCCTGATGACCTGACTTTGGTCCGAGGACCCAGGTGGTACAAAGACAGAACTGAATGCTACAGGTTGTCCTCTGACCTCCATACTCACATGCACATACAGTAAATAGATAAATGTAATAAAAATGTTTAACAATAAAAATCTTGCTGATTGCAGAAGCAGAAGATCTGTGGAAGCTTAACCCTGCAGCACCACATGCTGGAGCCTATTCAGCGGATCCCTCGCTACGAGATGCTCCTTAAGGACTACCTGAAGAAGCTGTCCCCTGAGTCCCCAGACTGGAATGATGCGAAAAGTAAATGCTTTTATTCTCCCTCAACAGCAGCAGAATGACATAGGCAAATGGCCCTTTGGTTCCAAAAATGTATCTTACATCCTCGCATGGGAAATCTTGTCAGCAGCGTAATTAAGCAAGGCACTTTAAGTCGGGATCACCCTGGCTTAGAGAAATGCAAATCATGCTTCCCTGTTGGTGGGGGTTTCTGTCCTGTCCAGTCCCACAGTTGTCCAGTCCCAAACAAACACACAGAGGCCTACATTAATTATAAATTGGTTGGACTATTAGCTCAGGCTTTCTTATTAACTAACTCTTACATCGTACATTAACCCATTATTCTTGTCTGTGTTAGCCATGTGGCTTGGTACCTTTTATCAGTGAGGCATTCTCACCTTGCTTCCTCTGCATCTGGGTGATGACTTACTGAACCTTTCCTCTTCCCAGAATTCTCCTATTCTGGTCGTTCAGCCTATACTTCCTGCTTGGTCACCCCACCTCTACTTCCTGCCTGGCTACTGGCCAATCAGCATTTTATTAAAACAATACAAGTGACAAATCATTACAGGGTACAAGACCATTGTCCCACAGCACTTCCTGTTCTTCACCAACTGTGAGCTCTAAAACTGTTAAGTTAGAGATGTTTGGAGCAGTAATAGAGTTGCCTTCCCATAGGTGTGGCTGATGTCTGTCAAGGAAGCTGAGAAGACATTTACTATGCAGATATAACTGTTAGCCTTACTCCCCAAGACACACGGGATGTAAAGTGCTTTATTGTCAAGGAACATTTTCCTCCAAAAAATTATTCCAATTATGTTGGTCATCTTTAACTGTTTCATTAGGTTAGAATGAAAAGTTTTTAAGACTAATTAATGAGTTTCATTAATTCTTTAGCTTCTCATGCAGTTTTAGTTTTTGTGATATTAGAGAGTGACTCCAGAGATTTGCATATCACATCCTAATATATACATGATGCACCTTATGAAGTGGCTTTAAATCTCAGCACTAGGCAGAGAGGTGGATCTCTGTGAGTCCCAGGCTAACCAGGTCTAAATAGTGAGATCCTGTCTAACTAAACCAAACAAACAAGCAAATGTTTACCTCCCCTCTAGTATAGTTTTTTAAACTTCTCAAAAATTAGAGATGAATAAAGCAATTAAGAAATAGTCATGGTTTGGTATTTGGCCAGTGCTGATAATACCAGTGTAACGTGCTTCTCCCCTGTGTTCTTGCCTGAGCCAGCGTTATTCTGAGGTCAGGACCCAAGTCTCATCCAGAACACAGGCCATCCCTAGTATGTTTTCCCACCATGCCTATAACGTAGGGGCCACAGAAACGTCTCTCTCTCGGCCCCTTCTGAAGTTTGCATGAGTGTTTAACTTGGGATTATTTCCCACCTGACACTTCTGGGATACTCTACCACTCCCTTATTTTCCCATGAGTGCTGGGAGTTAGTGGCTAAGCTTCTGGTACAGCTCTTCCTACACTTCTCTTGGCAGTTGCCCCAACCTCTGCCATTTTGTTTTGGTCCATCCTGGATTTTGTATGTCATCCATGGACCTGTCTGTGCTCACATGGTCCTGGATCATGTAAAGATGCTCTGACCGTGTCCTCTTGCCCTGCCTTGGAAGTCACATTTAGAAAGACAAGGGGGTCTTCAGAGCCCAACCTACAAATCAACCAGGTCACAGAACATGGGACACATCACCTGCTCAGAGCATTAGATGAAGAGACAAACTCCTCAAGTCAGACCCTGCCATAAGGGCATTGCCTCCCTCATCCCTCCTTACTATTAAGCATGGAACTCCACACAGCAAAGTCACAAAGGAATAGAAAGCTGTTTTTATAGCACCAGCCACGCAGGCTAGGGCCATTTCCAAATAAAAAAAAAACAAAAATAATGTTAACTCTCTGGTTTTGAAATACTGCCATTATCCCTCTCTAAGATATTGTTAGCGGTCCCACAGAAATACTGGGGGAAGTAGGGAACATAGCTTGGTGGTGGCCTCTCACTTGTTACCAGGTTAGCTCCTTAAAGATTCCCTCTTGGGAAGCCACACAGCGGCCAGCCTGGCAGGCTTTCTGCAGATTTTCTCCTTGCTCTCTCTGCTACTGTTGGCGTCCATCGCTTTCCTTGTCTGGCTTCAAATTGCTTTTCAACAATCAGGAATATGCACCCACAGGAGTGGTTTTTCTGTTCCTCTCTGGGTTGTCATCTGGCTCGCCAGATTTCCATCTCTAGAGGCAGAAAATACACTGGACCAAGCCAGGCTCATTCTCAGTGGTACTGTGGATTGGTCCATCTTCAGCCATCCTCCCCAAAATGCAGGCCAGCCCTCCAAGAAGGGACAGTTCTTACAGAGGGAGATGAGCTGGTCCTTGTGTGAAGCTGCCAAGCCATGGCTACCAGAACACGCCAAGTGCATGATTCAAACCCTATGAATCATATAGCACTACAGTACCTATGTAAAACATTCAATATTTTAAATCTAAAGATTCATTCTTGCTCTAAGTTATAGACATAAGATACTCTTCCTGGCTTCCCTTTGCTGAGGAAATTCTAGAAGTTGGGCTTTTTAAAGTCCTGAACGTAGAAGATGAAGCAAGAAAAGTATGTTATGCTCAACAATGCAAAGAACATGGAAAATGTGGGCCCAAAGGAATGGAGCTGCTGTTGCAGGACTTAGGCCTGGGAGGTGCTCCTGAGGGCTGCCCAGCACAGGCCTCTGCCCCACAGTTCTTCCCCCTCAGCCCCTGGAGCTTCACACCACACCACAGCCTTTCCTTCCCTCCCAGCACTCTCAGGCTGCAAAGCCCTCAGACTCTCTCCATCTGAATCAGGCTGTCTGGCTTTCCCAAAGAAAGCTGTTGATGTTTAGTAGAAAAAGTGTCCGAAGTTTGAGTCACATGATCTAGGGCCAAGTCACACCACTTCCTCATTTCTGTCATGTGGCAAAAGGAGATGAAAGAACTTGTCAACTAGTAGACAGGTTCCTCGGGAGCTACTTTCCAAAATGTTGTTCTGTGTACTCCTTTAACTGTTACTAGTACCAAATTCTACATAGAATAGTATTTTCCCCTACAGATAACCTGTGATATGGTTTAATTTATAAATTAGAGATTAACAGAAATTAGAAATTAGAGATTAACTGTAGAATAATTTTAACTGTGTGCTATAGTAAAATTTAAACTTCTGGCTTTTTTCCTGGAAATTTCTGTTTGCTATTTTTGAGCTACAGCACATAGGCAGATGGTGTGGGACTGCTGTTTATATGAGATCACCCCTGGCAAATGCCTTGAACCTGGTAATGTACACTGTAAATGCAAGTTCATTTCTAAGGCCTGTTTTATATTAAACTGCCTGGGAGCCTAATCATCACATATGTTATCTTGGAAGTAAATAGCCTGCAATTGGAGATACAATTCTAACAGATAACTTGTGGAAACTGCGTACCAGAGATATCTATTGGTTTTGATCTCTGTTTCTATGTTACTCTAATAGCATTGGAAAGACAAAATATTTATTTACTTTTGTTTTTTCCCCACCTAGAGTCACTTGAAATTATATCTACAGCAGCAAGCCATTCTAATAGTGCAATAAGGAAAACGGTAAGTGGATTTTTGAGGATATGGGAGGCTTCCGGTTAGGCAGCAGTTGGCAAATAGCCTCTGACCATTGTAGATTTAGACCAAAATGAGCAGGTGCAGGAGAGTCGCAGAAAGGAATGCTTACCAGATATCCTGGCCATTCCCCTTTTTTCTTCGCATTCACATTATTGATGCATGTTATACCAAAATGAAAACTTACTCTCAGTATCTATTAAATTATGTAGATTTTAGTTCAATTTAAATTACCTTCTTATATTTGATCTTGCTGTATTTTGTTTTAATTTCCCAGGAGAACCTGAAGAAACTCTTAGAGATTTATGAGATGTTGGGAGAAGAAGAAGACATTGTAAATCCCTCAAATGAACTCATAAAAGAAGGCCAAATCCTCAAACTAGCAGCTCGGAACACATCAGCACAAGAGCGCTACCTCTTCTTAGTAAGTTCACTAGTGTCTGCCAGTTGTGCACCAGTAGTTCACTGAAACCCCTGTGCCTGTCTTGAAGAAGTGACACACTATGAGAGGACCTTAAGGACTGTCATGAGTGTTTCTCTTAGCCTTGGGAGCTGAGCCACTGCAACAATGCACACGGTAGCCTTCCCGTGACTGTAGCCCATATGCACATGTGGGCATAATTCCAATTCTGAAAGTCTCCTTTGCTTGATTTTGGCTTTGTCTTTCCTTTTGTTCTTATAGGCTAATGAGCATTGCTATTTTATGTTTGATTGTTTTGTTGCCAGACTTTTTCCTGTGACAACTGTCTCCCTAGCCTTCCACAGTCACTGGTCTCAACCATCTGTGGAAGGTAGTAGTGTGCCGCATGTCCTTGGCATGTCCCTTCCTTAGCGTTCTGACCAGGATAGTCACCTTGGACTTACTCATTAGGGAGAGACACTGAGGAATCATTTTGTTCAGTTTCTGTCCACATTACCTTTTTGTCTTCATTATTAAGATGAATTCTGATTCTCTCTATACCTAAAGAGATGAAACAGATCATAATAATGGCTGACAGATAATAAACTAACACTGAATAATAACTTAGCAAATGTTACCTGTTATGATTATTGTTGAGATATGTTTGTATGAGCCTGTCTAGTGGCCTGCTTTCTTGCTGCCAAGCACCCATTTTACCATCTAGAATGAGTTGTCTTCAAGATCTGAAAAATTCTAGATTATTTCCATCTTTCTTTGAAAAAATTATAGGGATTAGTTGTCTTGGGAAGAATTTTTCATATCACACAGTGTTTTTATTTTTATTACATATATTTATTTGTGTGTAAATGTTTGTGTATTAGTATGTGTGAATATGTGTATTTGAGTGTGCAAGTGAGTGTGGGGATGAGTGTGTGGGGTAATTGAATGAGTGTGTAGGTGAGTATGTAGGGGGTGAGTGTGTGATTGTGTAGATGAATGTATGAGAGGTGAGCGTGGGGGTGAGTGTGTATATGTGAGGTGAGTGGGTGAGTGTGTGTGGGTGAATGGGTGAGTACGTGTGGGGTGAGTGTGTGGGTATGAGTGGGTGAATGAGTGTGTGGGGGTGAAGAAGGATGTGGTGGGTGTGTATATGTGTATTGTGTATACACCCATACCATGATATGTGTCAAGGTCAGAGGAAAGCTTACTGGAGGAATTTCTCTCCTACCATGTTGGTTCTGGGGCACTTTGATTAAGGGTAAGAGCTACATTTATTGGTGGGTGTAAAGCTAATTGTTTGGTATGTATTTAGAAATTATATTGTTTAGGGAAATAACAGTAGAGTCTTCTAAGGTCTATGACCTCTCCAGCTGTGTGTGCTTTCCTAAGTTTACAGTTCCAGGTATAAATTATTTTCTGTCAAGTGGGTCTTGGGTCCAGTTAGACAGTTGCTGACTATGTCCAAATAAAAGTACCACCGTTTCAGTATTGGAAATATTTTTTAGGCCAGTCGTTCAATAATAATTTTAGATATTGTCCAAATTTATTTGAAAAAACTCATTTTTGCATAGCAAAAATACTTTGTTTTTTCTAAGTTATATAGTTTTATACATAGCAAAATAAAAAGCAAAAGCATACAAGAATCATACCAGGGTTCCAAGTTTTATTCAGAAGCCTATTACAAAATGTAGGTTTCACTATTGTTCAGGTGAGAACATGATTGCTGTTAAAAACACTGATCTGAAGAGGAAGAACCACAGGCCATGGAGAGGAGCAATGGAGAGGTTTCTAGACCTGGTGAAGAGGCAGAGAGGTTTTGGCAAGCACCAAAAGTGGACAAGAGCCTTGTGGTTTACAAAGGAAAAAGAAGTACCAAGGAAAAGGCTTGGGATCCCTGGTTTGAGCAATTTCAGAAGAGTCTGAAGGGGTCACTGGCCAGTGCCTGGCCTTTGGGTGATGGGGGTAAGCGATGGTAGCGCAGGTAAATAAACACTGTTTGAAAGTTGCCTCTGGTCTAGTTGACTAAATGGGATGGCAGGTTCACATTTAGCAGTGGACTGAGTGATCCTGTTAGTGTCAGTTAGATGTGAAGATGCCAAAGCATCAAATACATGGAATAGAAAGAACTGCTTGTGCTGGACAGAATTCTCAGAATCAGCGTTTGCCTGCCTTTACATGTTAACCATGGATCTTTGTCCTTCCTGCACCATGGCTCCTTTTACTTTCCTGGTTTCTATGGATACCCCAGGGTATATACTCACATCTGAAGATTCAGATCTAGAATTCACATATAAGTTAAAACATGTGATATGTGTCTTACTGGGTCTAGGCCACTTAACTCAGTATAACATGTTCTGTTTCCATCCTGCAGATTTCTTTATTTTGTTTTTTCTTTGCAGCTGACTAGAATCCCACTATGTATTTGTGCCATATTCTTACCATTTCTTCATCACCTGGAAGACAGATGGACTGTTTCCTAGCTATTGTGAATAGAGTAAAACTTATCTATGGAGTACACGTTGATTCTTTTGGGCATATAACAAAGAGTGGTAGAGTCAGGTCCTATGGTTGATCTACTTTTAGCTTTTTGAGGATTCTTCACACTGATTTCCACAGTAGCTGCACAAGTCTGCAATCCCAGCAGTAGTGAAGGAGGGTTCTCCTTTCTGCACATGCTTACCAGCATTTTTTTCTTGATCTTGACTGGGGTAATTTTGCAGTTATCTACTTTGGTAGGTAAATTACTCACATTTGCAAATCCCTAATTCTAAAGATGTAAAACACTGTTTAAGGTATATCTTAACCATTTTTTTCTTTTGAAAACTCTGTTTAGATCCGTAACTCACTTTTAAGTTGGGTCCTTCATTTTCTTTACTCTTCCTTTTCTGAGTTCTTTCTGTATTGCAGACACCAATCCTTTTTATCAAATGGGTAGCAACAAAGAGTCTCCCCTCTATGGGCTTCCTTCTCACTCAGCCTTGTCCTTCACTGCACAGTTTATTAGCTTAATGAGGTCCAGTTTGTCAACTCTTGAGCTAATGAAGTCTATGCAGACGTCTTTTCCAGAACATGTCTTATAGGGTACTGTCTTTGTTTTCTTATGCAATTTCCCTGACTCAGGTTTCACACAGAGGTTTTTTAATGTTTATGAAGGGTGATAGATATGGGTCTGATTTCATTTTTCAATATCGACATCTACTTTTTTCAGCATCCCTTGTTGAAGATGCTATTTTTTCTTCATTGAGTTTCTGGCATCTTTGTCAAATGGTTGTCAATATGTATTCTCAATTCATGGTCTTCTGTTTTGTCCATCTGTCCTGATGTCTGTTTTCTACCAATACTATACTGGTTTTATTGCTATAGCTCTGTAACTTATCTTGAGATCTGGAGTGGCATTGTTCTTCTTGTTCATCATTGCTTCAGCTATGTGAGATCTTGGTGCTTCTATGTGAATTTTAGAATTTAGTTTTTATTTCTATGAAGAATAGAGAATCTGTGAATTATTTTTGGTAGATTGTCCATTTTCAAAAGTCTGCCAGTTCATGAGCATGGGAGGTCTTTCCATTTTCTAGTATTTTCTCAATCTCTTTCCTCAGAGATTAAAGAAGTTTTATTTTGTCTTGGGCTGTGTGTATATGTCTTTCATCATTTTTATTAGGTTCACTCCTAATTTTTTGAGACTCTTTTGAATGGTTTCTTTCACAGTAGAGGATGCTGTTAAAGGTATATTAGACAAGGACAGCAAACCACTCCATCATGGTTCTGCCTATAAAGCCATACAATGGCCCTGGAGGTTTTCTTTAGCAAGTTAGTACCATATCGGAGCCTACCCCAGTTCCACCAGTCCCCAGCAAGCAATAGTTAGCCAATGTGGCCAGTTATATGACTTTCCTTGAAACCTAATAGCTCATTTTTAACTCAAGATTCACATTCAGAATCCTGTACATTGATAAAGTTTTCATTTTCGGTTTACTGGATGGAGTAAGCAACTCCACCCACATTCCTTACTGAGTATATAATAGAGAATGTGTATAATGTAAAATTGTATTATTCCCTTAAACATTTTTGCTGAATAGGTATGGAAACAAGTCTCTTGTACTTTCTAATATTTTTGTTGAATTCCATCAGCAATGCAGTTTAGATTTCCTAGTAATTTTTTGTTGTTGTTTTTCAAGACAGGGTTTCTCTGTGTAATAGTCCTAGCTGTCCTGGAACTAGCTCTTGTAGACCAGGCTGACCTCAAACTTACAGAGATCCACCTACCTCTGTCTCCCGAATGCTGGGATTAAAGACATACACCACCATTGTTCGGCTCTTCCTAGTAATTCTTAACATAAGCTCTCCTAGTTTGTGTAAAAGAAGAATTGCTACTACATATGCCATATTCCCATCCACACCACTGGCTTGAGTTTGAAGAAGAGTAGCCCCTGAGGCAGCCCTGACCTATGGGACTGTGACTAACATTTTGGAGAATATGCTGTCTTCTCCTGTCACCTCCAAAGGGTCACTAATACAGAATGCAGCAAGATAGCTGAGGAACAAATAGAGTGGTTTATTGTTTTTTTTTTAAAAAAAAAAAAAGCTTCTTAATACCATTCCATGCACATGGATAGTATATTTTGATTATATTCACTCCCTAGAACCCTCTCTTAACTGTACCTATTAAACTGAACCCCTTCTTCCCAGCAACTCTCTTTTTCTCTCTCTCCCTCCCTCTCTCTCTCTCTGTCTCTCTCTCTCTCCCCCCTTTTATTTTTTCTTACTTTTTGTGACCTAATGACTTTATTTAGAATTGTTTAGATGAGTAGGGAGTTATATACTTTAATATAGAATACTATACAACTGAAGAAGATGACTCCCTTCCCTCCAGGGATGATGAGATTTTTAGCAGACGCCATCTTTGTGCAGGTCTCATGCAGATATCCACAGCTTCTATGAGTTCATGAGTTAGCGGTTGTGTCCAGAAGACAGGGTTGCACAGCACTCTTCCCATATTCTTTTCTCTGTCTTTTGTGGTATTCCCTGAGCCTTGATGTAGGAGATGGATGCAGGTGTCTCTTTAGAGTTGACCTATCAACAGAACTTTATTTTCAACACCTTGAGCAGGCATGAATCTCTGCATTCACTGCAAAGAGAAGCTTCTCTGATCAGGGCTGAAAGTAGCCTTTGTTTATGTATATAAACATAAATAATTACAAAGCAGCTTCACAAGATGTTCATTTAACAACCCAACAGTCATTGAGTACCACATGGCTTTTTGCCAAATTTTAAATCCAATCAGAAAGCATGTGGTTACCCCCGTATCAGCCATGCCACTATTATATAATAGGCACATCTTATCTAACAAGTTAGCATTGTAGCTCACAAGGTCCACATGGAGATGAGACCTTTGACGACTTCTGTCCTAAGCAGCCCACATAGCACCTGCCAGTACTAGAGCTAATCAATGAGAAGGAAGCTTCCAGTGCAGTTGTCAACTTCTCTATACCCTGCATCCAGAATGTGTAGTGTATTCAGCAACAGGGTCTTACTATGTAGTTTGTTGATGCTGCATTTTTTTTTCTGGTAGTTTGAGTAGCGATGGAAAGTATACTATGAAAATGGAACTCATGGAAAGTATTAAGTTCTAATGATGATTTTGGGAACAGGGAGAAGTGTAAAGTGTATTAAATGGAGAAAAAAGTATTCAGATATGTGATATTTTGTATGACTCCTGCAGCCTAGTGGTTACTTACATTTGTCCCTTGGTTTAAGTTCCACCTTGTAAAAATGTTAAATGAGTCTCTATTTTTTGTCCAGCAGATCTCTGAATATTTGAAGTTGTTTATTTTGTCTCGCAGTTCAGTCACCCATTAGTCATGGATTCTTCCTTTGTTCAGTGAATATTTAATTGAATTCCAAGGAAACATCTAAGTGTGGTGCTATACACCTATGTCCTCAACACTTGAGAGTCTAGTCAGGATTGTAAGTTCAAGAGTTATCCTGGTTCCAGAGAGAGACAGTAGAGAGAAAGAGAGAAAAGTTATATATTCTTTAAAAAATCAGTGGCATTTCTGTCCAGAGTTGCATGAGTCAGACTTTTATTTTATCTTCCTGTTTATTCGTTTGTATTCTGTCTCTTTGCAGTTCAACAATATGTTGCTGTATTGTGTGCCCAGATTCAGCTTGGTGGGCTCCAAATTCACAGTTCGAACCAGAGTCGGCATTGATGGGATGAAAGTGGTGGAGACTCACAATGAAGAATACCCACACACTTTCCAGGTGTCTGGGAAAGAAAGAACGCTGGAGCTGCAGGCCAGGTGAGAGCCTTCCCACCACAGCTCGCAGCAAAGTCACAAGCGACCCCGAGGCCCTCGTTACTGTTGTCATTTGTTTTCACAGCGAATGCTCCAAACCTCTGGAAATCTGACTAGCTGTAGGCGGAAATCGGGGTTCACTGAGACAGGCATCACGTCTTTCCTCTCATCCCTGTATTGCCTAGGGCAGAGGTGTGTGTACGGTAGCCATCAGTCAGGTGACTGCAGAGCAGCAAGGCAAGGCACTGCTGCAATTTAGCCCTGAGACCTGAGGGAAGACTCCGCGCCTCCACCTCCCCCCACAGCATCCCTTAATGATTATTCTTCCATGTGAAATTCTCCCTGATAACAAATTGCTGCAAAGACTGGCCCGGGAGCAGACACGGCAAGAGATGCAGCACACCAGCAGGGAAAAAATTGCTGGGCCACACAGCCCGGGGAGAAGAAAGGGAACCTGAATTTGAAACAATGAAAGGGAGCAGGAGAGGTGAGTGCAGCACTGAGAGCACTTGCTGCTCTTCCCGAGGACTGGAGTTTGTTTGGCTCCCAGGACCTGGATTTGGCTCCTGGCATCCACGACTCACAGCTGACCTCTGCTGGCCCTGCACAGACATGATACATCACTTAATATACTCAGGCACATATACATGTGCATAAAATAATGAGTAAATAAGCCTTTTAGACTTATAAAAATTCAACCAACTCCTACATGTCTTCTCCAAAAACTAGCAATCCTATAGTAAGGACCAACAATGAAAGCAGTTTGGAATAACTTCCAGACAAAGAATTTTTAAAGTAATTTTTTATACCTTATGTTCTCATCACAGTTTCCTCTCGTTGATCCTTCTGGTCTCCTCACCTAACCCACTCCATTCTCTCTCTCTCTCTCTCTCTCTCTCAACAAACAGGTAAATAAACCAGAATTTTAAAAACTAAAAAGGAGAAAGTACAAGAAACATACACAGACAACACACATACCCTACAAAAATGAAAGCTATAATATACAAATAAAAGACAAAAAATGCCCAACCAAGATGGTATCAGATGAAAAGGTCTGTAAAAATCACCACTGGGTCCACTTTGTGTTCTCTGTCTTCTTGTCTTCTGCTGGGCGTAGGTTAATATCCCCAGTGAGACTCCACTGGAGAAAACCAGTGTTTCCTTCGCAAGTGGATGTCAATCTGAGATAGCTTCTTGCTTAGGGGTGGAAGCTCATCAGACAGAGAATTGAGCATGAGCAAAGAGCTCAAAGAGGGTATGAACATATTCTAAGAAAACATAAACAGTTTCATGAAATAAGGAAGTCAATTCAGGATATGGAAATAGAATTCTATAAAGGATAGAAATGTTGAAGGAAAGCCAAACTTACTCTGCAAACTAAAAAAAAAAAAAGATAATCACTAACTCAAATAAAAAAAATGTTCGGTGGAGAACCTATGAGCAGAATGGATTATTCAGAGAACACATCATGACTTGAAGACGAGGACAAAGATTGGATCACTCAGTCAAGACCCATGACAATTTAAAAAACAGTGACAAATTAGTAGAACATGGGAGAACTTTGGGACAGCATGAAAGATCTAAAAAAAATTCTCTGAAATATGGTCAGAGAGGTATATGTCTAAAACAGAAAACATCCCAATAAAATCATAAAGAAAAGGCAAATCTTGGGAAGAGAACTAGTACAGATACAAGAGACAGAAAACACCAAATAGAGCAAACCAGACGATACCCCACACATCACATTATAACCAAGTGACCAAACATGCAAGAAAAGAAAGGACACAAAAGCTGCCAGAGAAGGCCAATTAAAGTAATAGCTGATTATTCAACAGAAATCTTTAAAAGGAAAAGAGCTTTAAAATATGTGTTTCGAGTTCTGAAAGACCACAGCTGCTAAACCAGACCCATCTGATGTAATAAAAGAAAAAAAGGAAACAGTTTTCATGATAAAAGGAGGCAAATGAAAAAAAATAGAATCTATTTCCAAAAAAATGAAAAAGTTCTACATTTAAAAAGGCAAATAGAATTTATGAGCTTAACCCAGTATGCTAAAAATAATACTTGAGACTAAAGAGGATAATCACCTCTATGATGCCACAGGAGAAAAATAAACAACTCAAGGAGTGTTAAGAAAATAAAATATAAAACACAAAATAACTAGAATTCAATAATAACTCTGAATATTAATGTTCTACTTCCCCCAATAAAATATGCAGAATGGAATGGAAAACTCCAACTTTTTGCTGCCAACAATATCATATCTCCCATCAAAGACAGACACCACCTAGAAAGGGGTGGAAAGGGGCACTCACTCCAAGGGGCACTCACTCCAAGGGGTGGAGGCCAGGACAAAAGCAGCAAAGCTGTTGTGATTTCAGACAGAATAGACTTCACACAAGCACTAGTCAGAACATGTGACAGTCACTTCAGGTGAATTAAATATTAAAATCAAAACCCCTGTTTAAAGTGGAGACACAAAGTCAGAGTTTTATACTGAAGAAAACTGGCTCAAAATATTTGTAAATAAGAATAAAGTTTGCACACTGAAGGTATAGTAAATGAGCTTGATTGTAGTAAAACATGCTACCAATCAAAGAAGTGGAAATTACCGACTTAGTGAGATGAATTTTCAAATAAGCTGGTTGCTGAGGTTAATTGACTTTACTGAGCCGAAGTGTATTCTTCATCTGTTTATTTGATGCTTTATAATATCCTGTAGCTATAAACAAACAAAAAGGATAAAAAGTATTGCTTCATATACTTAGACAGTTTCTATTTCATTTGGTTTTTAGACAGTCGTTTTCAGTTACTTAATAGAAATTTTAAATATAATAGCAAGTAAATTGAGAAAAAGAGTAAATAAATATTTCTTGACTTTAAAAAAACAAAACACTAAATTATTTGTCTGCATTTAAAAGACTGATAAATGAGTTTACTTCCAGAACAGCAGAGCTGGAAAACACAGCAAGGCCGACTGGAGCTCCCTATGGGAGATAAAGTGGAGTCTCCCATGCTAATCGGCACAGGTCCCACCAGCATTGCCTCAATATCATGCTGCTCAATAACAATAAATGCCGGAAAGATGGGTATCAGGCACAGGTCCATACTGTCGCTCTCAGCAGCCTGAGGAGTCCTCTTAATGTTTTAGGGACCTCATGCAGCTCACACCAAACTGGGACTCATTGCTTCAACCAGAAGAGATTCAAGACTAACCAGAAAATGCAGAGATGAATCTTTTAAAAAGTAATGGAGATTAGATAATAGAGACACACTCGGGTATGGGCTTCTCGAAGTTGCACAAAGTAAGACAACCAAGTATAAGGATGGGCTTCCCACGCGAGACTTGCAGCCAAGTATTGTAACATGAGCTCTCTCTGCCACTTGAAAGTGGTAAGAAGCCTTTTTATTCTTTTTCTTTGTCTTATAATAAGTGAGATATAGGGTAATTTCAAACATTCTTTGAATGGAATTATAATCTTGTAAAGTCAGAGGCACCTAGGCTGCACAAGGGGTTTGGTACATGACATTTCATTTCCCTATGACTGAATTTTTGATGTGATTCTTAGAACATTGTAGGTTTGCAGGTGGGGAGAGAAAAGGACCTTCACCAGCTGATTTTTCTGGAATCCTTGATTCTCTGCTGGCAAAACATTTCAAGCAGGCTCTGGAATAAGAAGCTTGCTTCCTGCCCATATCACTTTAACGCTCCCTGCCTTTCCACCCTGCTAGTACCATGCACACTTACACCTGTTGGAATGAGGATAGCCTTCAAAATCCCTCAATTGAAAGTTCTGATTTAATTAAGAATCCACTCAAAGAGATTTTCCAAGTTTGATATAAGCTTCCTACAAGGGAGAGGAAATGCAGTCTTTCCTTAGTGTACAAAAAGGAAGTTGAGTACCATCAGGTAAATTTCCCCCCAAGGAAAATTATTACCCTACAGTCCATGAGTCTGGGAAACCCGTTCCTGCATGATTCAGAGTATTCGATGCTCACCTTCATATGTAGTGGTTCAGGTATGGTATTGCCTGAGCCTTTAAGGAAGAGGCAAACAATTGTTTAGCAAAAGAAATGCGAAGTGGCTCCTCCAAGATCTTTCAAAGACCTTTTGCTTTTCTTCTATCTTTTTCTAAGATTTAATCATAAATCCCCAAAGACTTTGGGTTTTTCTTGTTTTTTAAAACCGCACTATGTCTACATCACTCCCACTGTTCCCTCCGCTGTCAAACTACTCCATGCCCCGTGCTCTCAAATCCACCATGGTCTCGTCTTTGCTATTGTTATATGTATATACATACATTCATATGTGTGTGTGTGAATATGTGTATGCATGTGCAGGTGCTCGTGTGCATGAACAAATATATTTATACCACCCACTGAGTCCATTTTACATTATTCCATGATGCCGGTACATATTGTTATCCTCTAGTGTGTGTGTATCTTGGACATAACACAGGTATTTGTTGTTATACTCTTAGAGTTCAAAGGAGTTTTAGAATTCTTTAAATTCTAGTCTAGGGACTCATCTAGGTAGTTCTCATTAGAGAACACTTCTATAGGACTAGTGGATTTGGCAGGAGTCATGCTACCTTGACCATTCATGTTGTTTGTTTGTTTCTGCAGTTTGGCCTGGCCATGTGGACTCCTTTCTTTGGTTATGTGGCTGATGTGTGAATCTAGCCTTCCTTAGATTGTGCCAGTGCACAAGCTATATGACAGGAGTAGCCCAAGTAAAGGTGGTGGATGAGCTGTTTAGTTGAACAAGTCAAAGATGACTCCCAAACCATGGGTCTGGTACTTGGCAATGATGTCATGACGGCAGCAGATAGACGGAAGGATGGGAGAGGAGAGTGGCGTCTCACCCATCAAAGGGATGGTTCCATAGAGAGCAACTAGACTGTGGATGTGGATGTGATGAAGGATGGGGACAGAAAGAGAAACTTACCAGGCAAAGTGAACAGACCTGGTTCTCAACTGGAACCAGACTTGTGGGTATCCATGCCTGTCTCATTCCTGCACTGAGTTTTTCCCCAGTTAAGATGTTGATGTTGGCTGTGAGTTTGTAGTATTATATTGTACTGAGATGTATTCTCTCCAGTCCTACTCTGTCTAGGACTTTTATCATGAAGACATGTGAATTTTGTCAACAATTTTTTCTGCATCTATTGAACATTGATTTTTTATCTTTAAGTCCATTTATGATTTATTACATTTATTGACCATGTATGTTGATCTAAACCTAAATCTCTGGGATAAAGCCAATAATATCATGATGGGCAGTCTTTTTTATATATAACTTTATTTTGTTTACATGAGAGAATTTTTACATCTAATTTCATCAAAAAGATTGGCCTATAGTTTTCTCTTTTATGTTTATTTATCTGGTTTTGATGTTAGAGTGATACCAGCTCTGGAAAAGGGATCTAGAAGTGCTCCTTCTATTTACAGAGAGTTTGTTTTGCTTTACTAATTTAACAAGATTTGCGTATAGCTCTTCTTTGAAAGTCTGGTAGAAGTCTGCTGTGAGTCCATCTGGGCATGAATTCGGGTAATTTTTAAAATTATAATATTATCTTTGATTTTTCTAGTATGTCAAGCATAGAGAATCATCTGGTAGGTGATTGTTAATGTCATGGTTTGCTGTCAGAATGAATGGGTACCAAAGGTGGGCAGCAGTCTGATACTGTATCAAGAAGATCTAGAGTCCCTTTAATTATTTCCAAACCACTCCTGTGTTTTCTAGGAATCCAGAGTGACAGTAAAGCATGTTTTCATTCATAGATTGCAATTCATATTTTCTTCACTCATTTTGCTTTGTTTTTCTTTTAGCTCTGAACAAGATAAAGAAGAATGGATCAAGGTAACTCTTTTACTTTCATTTTTGTTTTCTGTGCATAAGAAATGTTTACATTGGGGCCTGGAGAGATAGCTTGGTGGCTAAGTGCACTTATTACTCTTAAAAAAGCTGGCTTTGGGGCTGGAGAGATGGCTCAGCCATTAAAGACGAGGCTCACAACCAAAAATATAAAAAAGCTGTCTTTAGTTCCCAGGACTTACATGGTGACTCACAGCCATCCCTAACTCCAGTTCCAAGGGTGCAGTGTTCTCTTCTCACCTCTGTGGACAGCAGGCAAAATATATACAGCAGGCAAAACGCTCATAAGATAAATTTTAAAAAAGAAAAATACACATATTTGGCTTTTAAAAACATAAACTATAAGAATAAGCTCATTTAACTTGAAATTATCATTAAAAATTATTTATGTGACAAAGTATACTTATTAATGTGTATGTGATATTATAATGTATGGTTTTATTTCATTTATATTTTAGGCCCTTCAAGAGAGTATCGATGCTTTTCATCAAAGGCATGAAACCTTCAGAAATGCAATTGCAAAGGACAATGACATCCACCTAGAAGTGTCTGTAAGTCCCTAGCTTGAAGATGCTCTCTCAGTGTGTTCTCAAAGCACTCTCTAGTCATTCTGTTCCCAAACCTCCTCCCTGGCAATGCCGGAATTGGTGATTAGAAATAGTCATTCTCTCCTAGGTGGGTATAGTGGTAAGTGCCTAAGTGCTTTGAAAGTCCTCTCCTATCTTAAGGATCAGAGCATGGTGCGTGCTGCGTTGGGAATGTGCTACTAGAACGGAATAGTAATTGTTTCCAACCTGCCTTTCCGTTTAGACTGCTGAGCTAGGAAAGAGGGCCCCAAGATGGATACGTGACAACGAAGTGACAATGTGTATGAAGTGCAAAGAGCCCTTCAACGCCCTGACAAGGAGGCGGCATCACTGCCGGGCATGTGGACATGTGAGTGTGATTCTCGGTTGTTATGGCAATGGTAACTATGTAGGTGAAGTGAACTCATTCGCCTGGAAACAAAATAATCACTAACATTCACTTAGTAAGCCTGTTTTGGAGCTAATGATGTGCAAAGTACTGTGCTGTCTCCTGAGGGACAAGAATATGGTTAATAAAAGATCCCTGGCCTCGTGGAGATTACATTGTGAAGAAGAAAATAGATAAAAATTCAAATTAGTATGAGTGGGTTAAGAAAACAGCCAGCAAACTGAATTGGAAAGTATTAGTCATGGAAGATTTCAGACCAGATCTAATTAGACAAAACAAGGCCTATCTGGGAGACTGATACTTGCTTAGCTGCCTAAAGGGGAAAAAAGTCTTCATCCTGGAGGGGAAGCAAGAGGTGCTCTGCCCACAAGGAGCTGTGCCTACAGCCCGGGAGTGGGGCAGCCCTGAAATGCTGGGAAAACCTCTAGCCAGGCACAATCAAAAGAAAAAATAAGTGACACAGATGTAGTTAAAGTGAAAATAATCCGAGAAGTCAGTGTGGTTGGGAAGGCAAGAGATGAAACCCACAGTTCAAGTGAAAGTCACAGCCTTTGCAGGGCGGGGCAAAGCCCTCTCTTTTAGCAGGAGAGAGAAAGACAGGTGCAAGTGTGGAGAAGAGAATTAGATGGGGTTTTACCGTGTGGAGCATGTTCATAGTGGAAAGGAGGGCGTTTGAGGTCCGTGTTACCTTTTTAGTGAATTGGACAGAATGATCGGCTGAAAGTGAGAGACAGGGGTGTCTTGTGAGAGTCAAGAAAGAGGACTGAGTGTAAGATAGCTTCTCCGTCAGAGAGGGGTGAGCCTTGCAGTGGTGCGGGCGGACTCGTCACCCTTTGAAAGTTTCTACTTAGAAATCTAAGCAGAGTCAGCTTAGCCGCAATGGCTTTTCATTTGGTTGGTTGGTTGGTTGGTTATTTCTTTTTTTTATAACAGAATTTAGCCATGCAGGCCAGAGAAGGCAGAGAACAAGATTCATGGAGAATAAGTGTAACAAAAAAAAAAAGGCAAGGGAGAATTGTAGGTGTCTGCCTTAGATAAGCCATGATTAAATATTGGAAACGGCAGAGCTAGTGCATGGGAAAGATTTCTGGTTTCAAAGCTACATGGTCATGGACAACTGTAGGCAGGTTAGAGATATGAGGGGTACTGGCGAATGAAGGACGGGTGTTTGGAGTTGGCACCGAAGTCCCTGGTGATGGCAGGGCAGCTGTCAGACAGGATGCCAAGTGTGGCAGGATGCTTGCTGAGTGTGGACACTGGAAGAGCTGGGGATAGAAAGGTAGTTGGAGACCAGACCATCAAGAGCAAACCCAAGTGTCTTGTATGACCTATAGGAAAAAATTGGTTTAAATAGTGGGAAAGATAAGGAGTACCCATGGATAGCTCTCAGCATGAAGGTCTGGTGACTGGCTGTGTAATGACCCATCAGTGATAGGAAAAGCAAAAAGTGTGTCTCACTGGTCCACTCTTTTGCTCATTCTCTTGAGTTGTAGCTTGTTTGATTTTATTTATTCTTTGAATAATTTTTATTTCTAAATTGTTTTTTCTTCTAAATCTACCCAATACTCTTTGATAGTTTTTGTTACTTAAAAATTTGTTTTGTTCAAACATTTCTTGCTATAGAATGTGTATTTTAGAATGTGTATTCAGTAATGCTAGTGTCTGAAGGAATATTGAATAGGTTAAACCTCTTGCTAGTGGTTTCTAATTGTACTTTCTAGTTTTTTGTTTGATTGCTTTCTTGCTTGCTTTGTTTTGCTTTCCTTTGCTTTGTTTCAGCATAGCTCTCCTATAACTGCATGCCAGCGTTTGGTGGGTGCTTCATTACACTCCTCTCATAGTTCTAGCATAATGACTAAGTCTGATTCTCCTCTTCTATGTCAGTCGGGCTTGAAGGCCTTTCTCCACCTGTTAAATGTGCATTTTCCCTATTCATATAACATTACAGTGTCAACTCACTGTTTTTCCTTTGATTTATTTATTTATTGAATAGTTTTGTTTCCTTCTTTGTACCTTGGAAAGTCATCTTTACTTCAAAAGACTGAATCATTAAAATTACATTTTCTTTGTGTCCATAATCTACTTCTACTATGGCAAAAAGCTTCTCAGAGAAGTAGCTCTAAAGTCTGTCTTTTAGAGAGAAGCAAGAGTCAAAGCATGCTTAGTAAAGGGCATTCATTTCGTTTATGGCTTTTATATGGTCTATCAGTAGTAGGGGTATAAACTTGACTTTTTTCTGAATAAAGCATTTATTGTAGAGGTATTTCTGATTTTAACTTAATAATTACATTGCTAACATGTAAAAACAAAGATATATATGTATATATGTATTTGTGTAATGTTATGTAATTAGAGCATGATTTGGCCAACCGTGGAACTGAGTTTCATTTGGAAAAAGAAAAGAAAAGGTGTGCGATGCAGTTTCCAGGGTGGGAGAGAATGATAACTTTGGAGGGGCCTTAGGAACCAAGTTAAGCATTGCACCCTTTTTCTTAAGGTTGACTAAATATATTATGATCTAATGTTACTTGTTAAACACAACATTTAGATAGATAACTCATAGCTTATTCTCCTTTATGCTTAAAATTTTTTGCATCTCTTCTCCGGACACTTAGATTAAGCATATTGAGGCAGATTGTAACCAAAACTAAGTCAGTGGCAAACATCTATCTCAGAAAAAACTATTTCAATTGATCTTTGAGTTTGCTTAAAATGTTTTCTGGTACTGGCATACTTGAACATTGGTCAACAGATTAAAAAAAATGCTTGCATGTAGATTATCAAATACAATGACATGATTTGAGTATAACATAGTTGAATTGAGTTTACAGATACATACATATATATCTAATACTAAACTTCCAAAATAAGTTTGTCATAATTATGAGGAAACTGTGGTATTTATTAAGGTTGGATAGAAATTGAACTTGGGACTTTGAACACTATGTCTGTGTTCTACCTCTGAGCCACACCTTTAGCCCTTGACCATTTCTGGGGTGTATTTCAACTGCTGTAAGTCTCTCCAGATTCTTTTCTTACATGCTCATACATTTCTAAATAGACTTTATCTTTTATATGTATGAGGGAAATGTAATTTCCTAAGCTAGAAGGCAGTTATGTAGACCTACAGAAGTTCTAACACTAAGAATAATCTGGAAAGCAGCATTCACTCACAAGCATTTGTGTCATTGTCACCTGCTCATTGACATTCTGTGACTGGTGTGTATGGCGAGCAAAGTATCCCATAATAATCTCATGTAGCAGCGTTCTATAGGAAGTCGACAAGTAGTCATTCAAGTCTGTAGTTACAAACTATCCAGTGCTGTGAGCGAAAGGGGACCTTAGTGGCAGTGGTAAGAGTCAAGCTCTGTTCTAAACACTGAAGAAATTGTCTTCCAGAAGGAAGAAGGGGAATTGAGACTTCAAGGACTGTAGGAGATGGAAGACAAAGGAAGTGTGGTGCTCTGGCTTATAGGAGATGGGAGAGGAAGGAGACATGGTGCTTTAAGGGTGAAAGAAGCCAGTGTCATTGAAGAAAGGCCGATCACACAGAACACCATAAACTATAATAATTTTTTCTTTAATAAGAAACAAAGGAAAAACTGCAGGTTTTTTTTTCCACTGTCCTGGAACTCTAAGGCTGGTCTTGAAGTCACAGAGATCGTCCTGCTTCTACCTCTACCTCTTGTGTGCTGGTCCTTAAATCATTCACGACCACACATGGTTTTAGAATGAAGGATTTTTTAAGTACAAGAGGAACATATCAAACTCATACCCTCTATCTACTATTTGGAAAATAGATTCTTGTAGAATGTTAGGGTGAAAGATATAGGGAAAACCAGCCAGGCTATAAGAGTTCAAACGTGAGTGCTAATAACTTGTACTTAAAAAACAGATTGAAGAAATATCTCGAGCAGTTAAAGTCAGCAGGACACGAGATGATGCATCTGTGAAGGCAGGTGAATCGTCTGGAAATTCCCTGAATGCTGTGAGGTGGCTGTGCTGTTTCCTGTGAGAAGAGGGACAATGAGAGGAGACAGACGATGACACAGCCGGGGCCAGGGACCTTTAGAGGTCAAAGTGATGTTCAGATTCGGTCACACACATCATTAAAATACTTTAATATATTTAACATCTTTTAAAATGTTCTTAGACTAATAAAAATGTAACTTTTGTAATTAAGTTTCTTGTGTATGGATGACTATTTCCTGAATATAATTTTCTTAAGTCTACTTATTTATTTTGAATGTCCTTTTATAAAATTAAAGGTGGTTTGCTGGAAATGTTCTGACTACAAAGCCCAGCTTGAGTACGACGGTGGGAGATTGAACAAAGTCTGTAAAGACTGCTACCAAATAATAAGTGGATTCACAGACAGTGAAGAGAAGAAAAGAAAGGGGATCCTGGAGGTAAACTTGGTCAATTCTTTGTATTCTCAGATAACACTGTCTTGGTCATAAGGAGCACAGACAATGTGCTTATTCTTGCTGCATTAGCACCAGGCTGACAGTGAGCAAGAGTCATGCTTCTGCTTTAGTTGTTGGCCTTGGTCTCTTCCCTGATTACAGAAAGTGAGATGTTCAGATGAGTGCATGTGTCCTTCATGGAAAGCTTTCAATTTCATCATATATTAATGTTGAAAACCATTGCATGAAAATTTTCAAATTTGGATAAAGTACTGTTTAATTTCCTAAAACACTACCTAGCTTGCTGTGTTAAAAGACCACTTCTTTGTGGTAATGTAATAGCCAGGGCAACAGTTTCGTGACCGTCAAAGCCCGTCTCCAGTAAGTTTGACTCATATTTTAGAGTTAATTCAGACTAAAATAGCTTGTGTCTGAAATGGATTTACATTGAAAGATGCATTGACAAAATAAGAGTAATCTGTATAATAAGGCCTTGTGCTGGTGAGGTCAAGGTCACCTAGAAATAGAATTAAATTTTTTACATCCAAAGTCATAAATATCAGTAATTGCGTACTGAGCATTTGCAAGAAAAATACAAAAGTCATTTGTTAACTGAGAAAGGATCTTAAACTTCAATGTTTGTTTGAGGTTAAATTGTGAGCCCACAAGCTAAAATTGTAAGTCTAAATTCTCTTAGGATATAGACATTACTGGTGGAAAAATGGGGAGATATTCTTCTTTGGAGCCCAGGACCAGAACCTCAAGGCTTTAGTAGAAATCACTGACGAGTGTGACAGAGTAGAGTGCGCCTGATACCATGTTTCTTAAAGAAAAGGTTTAGGCTGCTTTTGTAAAATAAAAAACCTTTAGCTTTTTAGAAAACCTTGTGCTTAGGGAAAATCATCAATTGGGTTAATTTATGTAATCAAACAAAAAATATAGTGTCTGGAAGTAGAAAATCAGCATGTCCACGCACACATAGAGCCTGTCTGAGCCCTTCCCCTGCTCCAACCTGTGTACTGTACACTCTAGAACAGAGGCCAAGCCTTTTGTGAGCAGATCAGAGGAAACACTTTACAGGCCAAGAGGCCAAAGCGGTGGTTTCCAGAGGCCTCTTAAGGGAGAGAACAATTTTTTAGTGACAAAACTTAAGGCATTTAGCTCAATATATTTGTACATTCTTTTCCACATTTTGTATGTGTCTGTAGTGTTTGTGAGTCTGCAAGTTCTTGATGTGTGTGAACACATGTTTTGAGGTATATGTGCACATGAGTGCTCGTGCATATGTAGGCCCAAAGTTGCCATCAGGAATTGTCCTCAATTGCTCCTCCACCTTACTCATTGAGGCAGGGCCTCTCAAACAAACCCGGAGCTCACAAGTATGATGTGGCTAGTCTTGCTGACCAACCTGCTCCTGGGAGTCCTCTGTCTCCATCTTCCAAGTCTGGATGTACAGGCAGGTCACCATACCTATCTGCATTTATATGGGTTTCTGGGACTAGAATTCCTATCCTATTTTCAGGGTGTCACCTGCTGAGCCATCTCCCCAACCCTGTAAGCTTCTTCCTGTCTTTCAAACCACTGCGCCATTGTTTAGGTGTTTTTTTGTTTTTGTTTTTTTGGCGGGGTAGGAACATTCCAAAATATATTGTTTTAGTATATAAATTTTTCTAATCTGGACCTGTTATTCAGAACTAACCTTTTTGAGGGAGGATGGTACCTTACTCAGTGTTTCCTATCATCAAGTTGGTTATAAATGTTTGTCAAATTATTAGCTTATGGGACATACAAAACAGTGCTGGACTGGAGCTGACTTGCAGATTGTCATTTGGTTGATGCTTCTTAAACTACCTAGGGCCACGCCTTGATCATATCCCAAATCATTACTTATCCATGGAAATCAATAATCATGCACTCTCTGGCAGGGTTCTCTATTGCAGTGGTTCCCAGCCTTCCTATCGCTGCAACCCTTTAATACAGTTGTTCATGTTGTTGTGACCACAGCCATAAAGTTATTTTCTGTTACTACTTCATAACTGTAATTTTACTACCGTTATGAATTGTAATGTAAATATCTGCATTTTCTGATGGTCTTAGGCAACCCCTGTGAAACGGTTGTTCAGCCCTCTTAAGGGTCACAGCCCGCAGGTCGAGAACCACTGCTCTAGAGGAGCAGAGCTGGTAAAATGAATGTGTATGACACAATACAGGCTGGGTAGTCAACAAGGGCCATCTGTATATGGAAGAAGCCAAGAGAACCTCATAGCTGCTCAGTTCACTGCCTCAACCATCCCAGTCTGGCACTGGAAGCCCCGAACGATTCTTGGAAAGTTGCTGATCTTCAGCTCAGGTTGGAAGCCAAGAAGCTAGATTCCAGAGTCAAAAAATGACAACAGCAACAACCATGGGAGACATGCCCTCAGCAGCAGGAAGGGAGACATGCCCTCAGCAGCAGGAAGGGAGACATGCCCTCAGCAGCAGGAAGGAAAGGCAGCCAAGCAGCACTACTTTTCTCTGGCCTTGGGGTGTCTGAGCTGCTGCCCATCTGAGAAGGGTCTTCTCAGTTCAGTGATTCCTGGAAATGTCCAAGGTGACCTGCCCAAATTCTTATGCCTAGTTAATACTAGATCTGTTCGGGCTGACAGTCAGGATTAACTACAGGTACCATCAGAAAACGAATGGCTTTTCCTTTGCTGTTTTGTTTTTGTTGTTCTTGTTGTTGCTGCTGCTGCTGTTATTTTGAGAGAGTGTCTCCCAAAACCAAGAGTGACCTCAAACCCCCGATCCTTTTCCCATAACCTCCCAAGTACTGGGACACTGTACCTGTTTGTGTGTTGGAGTTTGAGGAGTTTGAGAAGAAAACATTACATTTCCCCAGTGACTTACATTTTTAGTGCTAGACCCATATTATATAAGAGGCTGCATATTTTTAATTTTATAAATAAAACTTAGTGGGAATTTGTTTGCTTTCTTTTTTGTTGTTTTGTTTGGGGGGGATTGTTTGTTTTGTTGGTTTGTTGGTTGGTTGGGGTTTTTTTGTTGTTGTTGTTGTTCTTTTGCTTTCTTCATGTAAGTACTTTTGTTATAACCTTGATTTGGACTCCAACTTTTTGTAGAAAAAGTTTGCTGACTAACATTCTGAGCACATATTAGTGGCACAAGAAAGGCTCCACAGTAGTTTTCCCTATATATGTACACATCCTTATCTGGCTTCCATCGCTGTGCCCTGTAGACAAAGCTGAGTACCAGCCTTGTCCTAAAGCTTTTGCATAGGAATAGAAGCAAAGCAGTTTACTTCTATTAAGCATTTAGTTAAATATTCATTTCCCATTTATCTAGTACTTAACATATTAGTAAGCAAAGCAGAAAGCCTTTGCCTCACAAGTTTGCTCTAGTGAGATGCTTCTAATTACAGCCTGTGAGGACAGAGCACTGAAGGTTACAGCTTCCAGTTACAGCCTGTGAGGGCAGAGGGCTGAAGGTCACAGCTTCCAGTTACAGCCTGTGAGATCAGAGGGTTGAAGGTCACCTTTTGCCTTTCTAACTCTTGCCTTATTGGATCATTAGGGCCATAAGTTCAGTGTCTTGATTAAGGCTGGCTGAGCACAAATTCTAGCACACCAAATTCCAAATTTATATTCTGGGGGAATCTGATTAAAAATTCTGAGCTTTAGAAACAATGGAAGCACTTAGCTTGTCAGTGTTGGTGAGAATAATACACGTCTCTGGTGCGGGAGAATTGTCTGTATTCTGTCAATCATGTTTTAAATAAACGCTGATTGGCCAGGCAGGAGGTGTAGGTGACAGGAAGTGGAAATGATGCAAGGAGAGCAGGAGAATTCTGGGAAGGAGGAAGCTGATTCCTCCCACTCCTGCCCAGATCACTGAAGCAGCAGGATGTGATCTGCCCCACTGAAAAAGGTACTGAGCCATATGGCTAAAATAGATCAGAATAATGGGTTAATATAAGCTACAAGACCTAATAAGAAGCTTGAGCTAATGGGCCAATCAGCTTTATAACTTATGGAGTCCTCTGTGTTATTTTCTTTGGGGCTAAACAGCTGGGGGACAGTCCACTGATATCTCCTAGTAGGCTGAGAGTTATTATAAGTAGGCACTGTGAAGGCAAATTTTTCTCTATCCTTTTCTTGTAAAGGTATGGTAAAGAAGCAATCTTTCAAGTCAGTAACTATAAGAGGCCACTCTTTGGGTAACAGAGAAGGCAGAGGAAGTCCAGACTGTAGAGGACCCATAGGTTGAATTACCTTCTTGACAGCCCTTAGATCTTTTGTCTGGGACTTGTGGCAGTGGGGGGACTGGGCAGGGCAGAAAAACACAAACAAGCCGGCCCCCATCATGTTACACGTCTCAAGCAAAAAGAAGTTCTGTGGTAAATGGTTGATAAATGTTGACTATTTAGGGACAAAGTCTAGTAATACAGAGAGTTAAAGATAACCTCAATAGGTTTTCATCTCATAATAGAGAAAAACTAGTAAATGTAAATCTGTCTTTTTGGAGGGTAACTCAGGAAGACGTGTTATATAAATATACTGTGCATTATATCTGTTTCCCTTAAGGCATGTTTCATCCCTATCTGATTTGTTGGGTTTATTCTTTCTCTTCATTGTATTTTCTAGATTGAATCAGCAGAAGTATCAGGAAATAGTGAAGTGTGCAGTTTTCTCCAATACATGGAGAAGTCAAAACCTTGGCAGAAAATATGGTGTGTGATCCCCAAGCAAGACCCCCTAGTGCTGTACATGTATGGCGCTCCTCAGGTAACTAAGCCACGTATATGTTAATGACATGGTCAGGGCAGAGTGGGGCATGGGGACACTGATCCTCAGGAAGACAAAAGAGCTCAGGCAGTATCACTGTGTCCTATCAACTTTAAAAATAATGAAAACTAAAACCAATTTGGTTGATTTAAATAGATGGTTCTTTTTATACCTGCGTATTATTCACTGGGTAAATGGTTGGTCTCTTTTCGTCTCTTTTCCTTATTTAGTGAATGAGGAAAGGTCAGTTGAGTAGGAATACAGGAGTGAGGAGAAGGAAAGGGAAGTAAAGAGGGAGCACACCGGTGTAACGATGGGAAACATGGGATGTTTGCACACTGGTGTAACGATGGGAAACGCGGGGCATTTGCACACCGGGTAATGATGGGAGACGTGAGATGTGCCATGTAGTTGGTTTTGTTGTTGATAGTGATCAAGACCTAAGGACAAAGTAGTTTGAAAGGAAGAGAGAATTGACATAAATCTTGTGTTAAGATTAAATCAATACTAAACTCAGTAACAAGTTTTTATGAACCATATACAGCTAAGCTGGACACCTGGGGTCACTCTAATGCCAGTTTAGCTTCCAGAACAAGCTTTGAAAGTGAACAACACGTAAACCAATTATGCATTCATTCACTTTTAAAACATAAAGAATTAAATTTGTCAAATTTAAGCTTCATCCTACATCAAGAACTAGTAATTTTTTTTTTTTTAGAAAATCCCTAAAAATGCCAAGGTATACATCTTATTCTACGTTTCTGTTTTTCCTGTCCATAAATAACTTGAATGAATCATTAAAGGCAATATCATTGTTAATTCTTAGTAATGCTTGCTGGCTTAAACTTTAAGAGGCTGTTTGTTATTTGCCTCGGTCTCCTCTCTTCACTCAGTGGAGAAGAGCACAGGATCCGATGAGCTGCCCACAGGAGCAGGTGCCACACCAGCACTTCCCGGCTCATCTGGGTGTCAACTCTGCTCCATCCATTCTATTC